GATGGCAGGAGCACCACAGGTCCCCCCAGCAGCTACCCAGGGTACAGGGAGATACAGGCAGGGCCCTGCTGTGCTAGGTGCTCTGTCTTGCAGGGCTTATAACCCAATTAGACAAGACAGAGGGAGTTAGTAAGAGGGTATGCCACAGACAGGGTCAGCGCGGCAAAGAGAGTAAGTGACATGACCAGGACTACATAGGCAGTCAGTGGCAGAGTCAGAAACAGCTCCCGCTCTGAGCCCTGGGCCAGTCCTCCTCCCTTTCCCCTTTCTTCGTGCTTTGCTCAGCCCCAGTCCAGCGGGCGCAATGGGAAGTGCACACCGCTGGGGGCTGGACGCAAGGATTTTCCCATGCAACGAGGGCTTGTGCTCGCAGCTCCATGGAAACCCTGGGAACAGAGGATCGCAGCCCAGCCGGGCCTCGCGCCAATGTTGCCCCTTCTCCTCTTCATCCACGTGAAGACTTTTTTCCATCCACCTGCAGAATAAATTTTTCCCGTGGCCCGAGGCAGGTGTGAATGTGCCACCCCCGGGAGAAACAAAACTTCGCTGCGGGCGTTTTGCTCAGCAGCCGGGTGGCATCCGCATCGCGCACGGCCTACAGGGAACGCTGCTCACACCCACGCTGCTTTCCATGCCCTCTGCCAGGCCTTGCGTTGTGCCCACGGGAAGAGCTGTTGGCACGAAGCAGACAGCGCTCGGTCCCGCTCTCCCAGGGCTAGGGCAGCGCCGCGCCCGCAGCGGGGCCCCCAGCTGAAGCAGCTGCTAGCAAAGCGATAGATAAATCACCAGGTGGGGCCACAGAACCGCCCGGCGCGCCAGATCAAAGTGAAAACCAGCTGGCGTGTTCGGCAGGCTCCCCGGTTCACCGAGCCCCCCAGCGAGTCCCACGCAAAGCGAGGAGCCTCGCGAGTTACTTATTACCGCCCGCGCGCAGGGAGCGGAACCGCCTGGCCACAAAAGCCGAAGCCGCCCGCCCTCCTGCCTCCGGAGACGTTTTTCCAAGAGGAAAAGGGTTCGGCCCAGAAACGCGCGGCGGCCGCTCGGACGGCTCTTGCCGCCCCAGAGGCAGCTGCATCGTGTGGCGAGAGGAAGGAAGCCAGAATATAGGGGGTGTCAGCGAGGGTCCCGCCGAAGCGCCTGAAGGGAGCTAGTGGTGAGGCGGAGGTTGGGGTAGCTCCCTGGCTGGCGGAGGGGACCATGGCAATTGGCCTGGCAGTGCCCCGGTGGCAGGGGGACGAGGCGGCAGGCAGGCAGGGCTTCACTAGGAGCCGGCCACCACGCCAGCCGGGAATCGCGGAAAGCCCTCTTCAGCTGGGGGGCCGCTCCGCCTCCCCCTGGGGGGGCCGAGGCCGAATCCTGCCCGAGAAACAGGCTCCTTGTACGTCTCCGGCCCCCATCCCCACCGCACCGCCCCACCCTCCACAGATTTTAGCCTCCAGCCCCCCGGGAGGGCGGGGACCCCGCTCCTGCTCCTGCAGCCAGGGAGCTGGTGTGCACGGTAGCCCAAGTGACCTGCCTACACAGGGCTCATCTGAGCCGGGTCTCCACAGGCCCAGCCAGGGCCCTGTTCGCCCTCCCTCCTCTAGCCGCAGCCGCACTGCCCTCCCGCCCAGGGGCGACGCAGAGGGCCGGCTCCTGCCTCTCGCTGCTCGGGTCCCCAGGCAAGGCGGGGGGACAGAGACAGCCCCCGCGGGAAGCAGGAACATCGGGGCCTGCCCCCCTGGCAGAGGCTCTGGGTGCTACTGGGGGGCTGCGGCTCAGACCAGCCCTTGCGCTGAGAGGGGGCGGCCTCTGCCCCGAGCCAGGGCCTGGACCCCTCCCCCCGAAACGGGAGCGCCTTGGCACTTCCCTCCTCGTAAGGGGCTCTGCTGGCAGCGGGTCATGCAAGCGCCTGGTTTATGGGCGTCGTATCTCTGAACTGCCGGCAGAACATCCCGGGGGATTTACGATGTTTTCCTAAGGCTTTGGGGACGGGAAGGAAATTTCCATTTGCCCGTGTCCGAGCGGGCGGCCTCAGGCTGCAGCCCCGCCAGGGCCAGCACGGTGGCCCCCGAAAGAACCCAGCCCCCGTGCTCGGAAAGGAGCTTTCTGACCCAACTCAGCCAGCTCATCCCCAGGGCCCCGCCCTGCAGCAGGGCCCTGCACCGGCCAAGTCAAACCGTTTCCACCAGAACCCCCCCCCCCCAACGTCCTCCTCTTATAAACCGCCACACTGCCG